TTCTAATTTTTCTTCTTAAAGATTTTGCTGGGACTGTGTGTTTTTTTTTAGTTCCTGCCAATAAAATCAATTTTAATGACCCATGAAGCAAATTAAAGTTGACTTCACCAACAAAACATGTAAAAAATACACTTGTACCGCTACAAAAACAAATTGTTTTAGTTATTTTCATTTTTTTTTTTTTTTTAACGATTTACTGATTATCTCATGCAATCGTTTGATTTTGAATCCTCGGAGGGGCACAGTAATATTATTGGGATATATTTGTGTGATTGCTTTTCAGGTACATTTAAGCTTTTAAACTTTTAAGCTAAAAAAAACAAAACACTTTAGTGAATCATAGCCCATCGTCAAATACCCTACATCATCTCGCTTAATACCGTTATTCAGGAAGCGACATTTCAAGTTAAGGCGTTAAGTGGTCCGATTCGAACCATTTTCTATAGCGGTCGTCCTTGGGTCAAAACACACCATTGTATCTGAAAAAATACAATCTGTAGCTTAGACATGCATTTGCCTGGACAGATGGACAGACGGACAGACAGATTTCGAATCATTAGTATAATAAAAAGTGTGTCGGTGGCCGCACAAGCTTTGTGTACCCTGTACCACAAGCAGGGTATGATCTAATAAAAATTTTGAATATCTTTCGCATTTTAGCTAAGTAATGTGTTTAATATCTTTGCAAGAAAATGTTCTTTTACAACTATCTTCTTCACTTTCTTTTGCAATTATAACTGTATTTAAAACAATAATTCTACTACTACTACTACTGCTGCTATTATGATTCAGTTAAGGCATATAAATTTCTGTAATACATTATGGAAACTTTTACTCTGTCAGTTCATTTCCTATGTAAGGCAACCTAGTGCGCGCGTTATAACAATAACAACAAGCATGCAGACAACAGACTGTTGTTCGAAAATCGTTGATAGATAATATTTCGTTAAGGAAGACAAAAAAAAAAAAAAAAAAAAAAAAAAAAAAAAAAAAAAAAAAAAAAAAACAAGAAGATGAAGAAGAGAATACTACATTATATTTGCGCACTTAATGAAATGAAAATGAGTGAAAGTGTGTAAGTAAAATATCTGTCAGATAGTCGGTCGTTCGTTTCATTCATTTTTGTTAGATGAAGTGCAAAACAGCTTTACGCAGGATGTACTTGATTACTTGACATTTTGCCTGGCATTTCCGTAATATAATGAATAAAATAAATTTAATTTTGGCAATTAATACACTGCCCCATTGCAGCACCCCATGTACGCCAATCAAATATTTCACAAATGCAAAGCAAATGCTATCAGGAGAATTATAGTTATGGCATATCATCTGATATGGATGAGTGGAACATAATAATAACGATGATGTTGACTGTGTTGCTGTGTAAGATGTCACTTTCTCCCCCCCCTCCCCCCTCTTTTTGTTTTATATATGAGAATCATAATAAACGCCTATACAATCTCTAGAACGACATCAACTATCATCGTTGACATTATTACGGCGACTGGCTTGATGCGATGATATTGCGACAATAGTTTTACTTGAGGTTTTTTTTTTTCTTTTTCCTTTTTTTTTTTGCTTCGTTTGCCGTCAATTCACTCTTGGGGTCATATTAGCTAACTGACTGACAGGATACTAACAATTTTCTTTTCTTTTTGCTTTCCTCCCTTTTTTTTTTTTTTTTTTTTGATCCTTTCACTTTCGCATCGAAAATGAAAAAAAAAAAACTACTTTGCAAGTTATAAACAAAATAAATAAAAGTTGACACAAGTGGACTTTTTCACCGACTAAATGGAAATGGAGGAGGTTTTTATGGCTTTTAACATTCATTTTATTTATTATATTGCGAGTGTGCATTAATCTTAGCAGATCTGTTAATAAAATTGAACGCTTGCTATTAAACAAAATGATACGAGATATTTTATTCATAGTGTTTCTCGTTGTCGTTAACCACAACTTTTCCCTGGTGCAAGCAATAGCTGGCGTTTCCTCATTTTCGGATATGGAGTCATCGTAAGAACAGAGCAACTACTTGGACTAGTTATACGCTATCGACTGAGATAAGTGTTGTTAAGAAAGAGCAATGTGATGATTGGCTTTGGTATCGCATACCAATTTAATGTTTTTTACTCGGACTTTGCATTATGTGACTTACTCGAATCGTATGCAGATTGGGACCTTTCTTAGTCAACTGCATTATTTGACTGATCTCGCTAACTCATCATATCGCGCACTTAGATCCTCCTACAATGTAGTTCTATGCATATAGTCGTCGACATTACTGCATCCGCCTTGTGTAATTCATCATATGACGCACTTAGATCATCCTACAATGTATTCGCATGAATATAAGTGTCGTATTTTCTCGCTTTATATCACCGTAACATTTGCCCTCTTTTTAACTACCGTCATGTTGCAGCACCACTTACCTTTCAATTGAAAAGCGAAAGTACTTCTGCCGCGAATTGCGTTTTAGTTTCGTTGGCATAGAACCCAAAATATTCAGAGCTTAACAAAAATTTTTGTTTACACTTTGTCGAGATCGATATTGCGGTGGAAAGCAAAAGCAGCCTGAGGATTATTTCATGCGACATAATAATAATTGCGCCCTTATTAAAAACAAGCAAAAATTAACGCACACCACTAACATAAAATAGTTTTGTGTCTTTTTGTTTTTTTTTTTTTTTAATTTCTCTCTATTTTGGCAACTTTTAAATGAATTCTGCGTAATAAACGCTTGGGTAACTTAATCAAGCTGTTGTGCGTTGTATGTCTACGTTAGTTTTTTTTTTTTTCGTATTAAATGGCGCTAAATGTTACTTTTCATGCATAGTCTCCTCCTAAAAGCTTTAAGATGGCTATAGTGTTAGTGTCATTCTTCAATGTTATATTGTGTTAGTTATTCAATTTTGCAAATTTATGAGACAGTTTTATATAACTTTGATATTCTTGTTATTGACCATAACGATAATGGCGATAGTTGTAGTAGCAATAGGCATAAGTGGGGTCATTGTTCACAAACCATTCTTAAAAGTTTCAAAAGCACTTAAAAAAGAAAGAAATGTGACGCTACCCATGAATTGTGTTAATATTTTCCGGATAAAAGAGAAACTATTTTTTCACTAAGCGATATACGTTTGCAGACAATTAAATATTTTAAATACGCATTTTATTTTTTGCCTTTGACTCATTCATTCATTCACTCATTCACAACAAAGTTTTCCAAGTTGATAAAACATTTCTGTTGTGTAAAGTAAAAGTGATAAAAAGGTTGCTTTTGTATATGACTTTAAACATCAACCAAAGCATACACGTATTACACATTTATGTACATACATGTACAAACTCTGCTTAAAATCTAAGAACTCTGATAATGAATGAACAACAAAAGAAATAAAATAATGCGCACATACATGCTTAACATGATTTCGTTACTTATTCATATGTTAATCTACCGGTAAAATTTTTTAATACATGGGCGAATATCTTGTTGTTCCTCGGTTAATAACAACCTTTGCCTTCTTTCTTTTTTTATAAGCACCACAAGAGGGTAAAGGTATTTTATTCATTCAGTCAAAACTTTTGCAACACCAAGTGCAGAACCAAGTATCGACATCGAAATTGATCTAAGCATGTTTGTCCGTCCGTCTGTCCATCTGTCTGTTTATTTGCTTGCAATAGGCGTACTCCCGGTCGTATTCATCAACAACACTACAAGTTGTTGTACAGTATTGTCATTATTGGAAATGGACATGGGAGACCGGGTCAAAGGACATATGGACATTACAATCTAAATCGAGAAAACCTACAAAAACTAATTTCATTACTCATCATCTGCAACAATAAAAATGTATGTGTAAAGGTGTTGGGTACAAAAGATTCTGCCACAATCGAATATAATTTATTTACTTGTTTTTTTTTTTTTTTTTCTTCTTTTCTTTCTATGAATGAAAGAGTTTGAATCTCATTTTTCTGGTTGGTGAGCGTTAAATTAAAAGCTATATCTTACGTCACTTGTACGATCTTTTATTATTTCTTTTTTGCTTCTTTGTCTTTTCCTAACAATGGGTTTCTTTTTGATTTCTTTGAAAATTTTAAATAATTTATTTCGATCCGCGGTTTTATATAGTTTTCTTTTTCTTTCTTTTTTTTTTTTTTTTTGCTTTATTCTAACGCGGTGCTGTGAAAATTATTGCACGCACAGTTTTCTTCTGTATGCATAACATGCGATATGTATAAGGAGGCAAGAAGAAGTATTTGGAACAACAGTCTTAAGGCAGACTTGAAAATGAGTGCTTTCCAGAAAAAGCAAATGGCCTTGTGCTTGTATATTAAGAAGATGACGTGGTTCTGTTACGGTGAAGAATATCACACCGACGACACGAATCGCAAGCAATTTCTTTTTTTGCGATTTTAATGGCCTAGTAAATCTTCTTGGCAAAGAAGAGCAGATTGTTTTGAGACCGGTCACAAAGCCACTGTAGAGTTGTTAGTCCCACTTACTGAAGGAATTGCATTTTGGCAATGTGTGTGCAAAGGAAGAGATGCATGGATGAACTCGTAGCAAACAAAGCGTTTAACTAGGAAAGCATCTTCGAAAACTTCTTACTAGTAGTAAATAGTAAAACGTAGAATTTTTAAATTGCTTGACATAAGTAAATTTTTTAAGTTTGCTTTTTAGTAATATTTGTAATTAAAACAATTTCATAACAAGCGTCGGCAGAAAAAAAAGACCAATTTATTAGCACTAATTAGCACGTGACGCAATTAGATCTTTATCTTTTGATTGTCTTTAAAATTAAGTGTTGAACGCATACAAATATCTCGAGTTGAATTTTTATTTATTAATTAATATTAAAAGTGCGCATAATTTTAGAAGACAAACTCCCTCCCTTCTCACAGTAAGTGTTAGAAGGGGGGGAGTAAGTGTTAGAAGGGAGAAAGTAACTTTGTTAGAATTCACTATAAATGCTTCATGTTAGCAGCCATTATTGCCCACTGTTCAATTAAGTATCGTAAAGAAAAGTATGAATTTTAAAAAATATTTTATAGTTTTCACAATTTTATTGCTTTGCTTGGCAGCTACGCAAGTCGTAGAATCAAGAAGCTTACGTAAAAGACTAAAGAAGGGAGTGGTAAGTTTGAAAATTTAAGAAGCGTTAGATCTAGACAGATCTAGAGATGAATAAAATTATGTACAATTTTTGTATATAGAAAAACCTCCGTAACACTTTGAAAAAGACTAATAATGCTTTGAAAGATGCTGCCGGAATAGCTGCAGGTGGGGCAGCTTTGGGGGCGGCGTTCGGATAATATGAATGGAAAATGAAAAAATTCATAAGATTCGTAAAATAATTAATAAAAAAAAAAACCAAAATCAATGTATGGATTTATTTCGCCTATAGATAATATTTTAGTCAGCAATGAGCGAAACATTTTCATCGCTAACGAATGTATTCTTTTAACACTCTGGTGTTAAGGATAAGACCATAAAACTTTGTTAGAAATTGCTTTGCTCTTTCTCCTTTAAGAAAATTAATTTTTTGTTGTACATAGGGGTTCGTTCAGTTACCTTATGCTCAAGCAAATGTAAAATTATTGAAATCTACGAACAAAAGGCTTATTTCCTTCAAAACATATTCGTAGTATGTGTGCATGTATACATATTGAAATGAGTAGTAATTTACTATTACCATACCACGTGCATAATGTTTAATAACCCGCGAATTGCCATAAAATATTTTATTGCTTCTTATTCTGATTTTATTCTGCTTCCAAGTAATCGCATGTATGTCAAACCCCGCATGTTTGTTGTTGCTTTTCGAAAATAAGACTTTCTGCTTTAAGTTTCAATGGCAGTTGAAATTTGTTAGTGAAACATTTTCACTGTAATAAAGGGATCTGTCGCAATATAAAGGATTATTTTAAATTTCATTGATAGTTAGTTGCAAAGAAAGAAAATGAAAAATTTTACATAAAAACTTTTGAGGTATTTGCGCTCGAGGTATTTTTATAAGAAGTCTTAAGTCTCCTGCTTTAATAAGATTCTTCTTCTTGATCGAACGACTGCAATTTTCTAAGTTGAGTGGGAACCATTTTACGTTAATCCCGTGCATATCCAACTCTTTGGCTGAAGGTTCGTCCATTGTGTGTCCAGCTCGACATTAGAACGCCCTTTTAAGAGATGACTGATGTCAGTCTTGAACACCTGTATCCGTCTGATAAGCGCAGTTGGCATTTACACTTTCTTCACAATGGACAAAGTCTTTAGTTCTTTCTCGGCGCGTGATTTATACCAACGTGTGGTATTCTATGTTGACCTAGGGCTTTATAGTTGTTAGTAAATTGAAAAAGCTCTTCGAACTTAGCTTAATGAGACTCGGAAAGCAAAAATTCAAGTCCAAAATTTAAGGAACATATAGAAACCGATTTGTCTTCTCATGCCAAGCATTCTCACTGCAAGTAAATGAGAATTTAGGTTGGCAAGTAGGAAATGGGCGTAACTGTCATTGCTGAAGTTTTCAAACAAAGGGGCGACTCATTATCACATTGTAACTTATGTACCGGAAAGCAAGAATTTGAAGAAAGATTCTTTCCAATCTTTCAAGTTAATAAAGACAACATTTTAAATTATTACTGCAAAGTCCTAAGCCGGAAGCTATATATTGATAACAATATTGCAACCAAAAAATAAGGTGAACTTTTCATTTAGACTTCTTGGGTACTAGGAAGTCATGAAACAATTTTTTTCTTTTGGATCTGGATTGCCTTCGAAATCTATACACAGTTTCATGCCAATATACTCAGCTGCTGTATTTTTAGAAGCGCCTTTGCAAACATTCATAAATGGGTTTTACGATTTTCTCCATGTCCGTGAAGCCATGATTTTAGACTGTCAGGATGCCATAAAAGCCATCACTGCCGAAGATGGAGCTTGGAACGTGATCTTGTGCACTATAAATTCTTTCCGCCGGGCCAGTTTCAGTTTTATGAAGGCAATGAAGATGGTGGTAATGATATCACCGAATAAATAAATATTTTACGTTTTATAAAGAAACTCACTCCATCTTTTAATCGCTTAGCATAACCCTATCAATATCCTAGCATTCAGCAAAAGGAGTGTAATTTTTTTTACAGCAATACATTCGATATAAAGACGATCGCCTTAAATTTTTGCAATATTTAAATTCTTACCTGTACACTGTTTATATAAGAATTTGATAAGGAATCATGAAGCGATGGGAAATCTGCAAAAAAGAAAAGATAATGAAATTTATTATTATTATAATTTATTTAGAGCAAACAAATAAATTCTAGGACTAAAAGTAGGATGAGATTAAACAAATAAAACTGTCAGCCCCTTTTCTTTCTAAAGTTTGCCTAGACCGTAGATTAGTCAAGTCGCTTTAACAAAGTTAAGTATTTTATTGATCATCTTCGGTCATCAGGGACTCTTAAAATGTTCATAGTGTTAGAAGCTGCGAAAGAAAGGCACTTCATTTGACGGTCAGAAGATGACGGATGACTTAATTATGTCTTAACGTTTGTATGTCTACAACGCATTCATATAAAAAAAAAAAAAAAAAAAAAAAACTCAAAAGCAAATTCATCGTCAAAAACTAGTCTTTACATCATTTGATATTCTATTGTTTCGAACAAGCATGAGAACGTTCAGCAAATCCATTGCAATCCGCATTAGCAAAAAAAAAAATGCCCACAAATGTATGAAATATACCATCGTTTTCCTTTTTTTTTATATATGAAATCATTCCTCTGTCCCTTATTGGGCGCAAAAAAAAGAAAAATAAATAAAAGGAAAGAAAGGATGATATTACAATTTTATGCATTCAACGATTACACTCCATTGAAGCTGACCAAACCACCCAAGCGGGTCTACCACTGGTAGTTGATTGCATCAAAGCAGTCTTTAGTTAATGCATTAACATGTTACGGTCGTTCATCGCGTCAGCACTAGTGACTCACAACAATAGTGGAAATATTCAATCAAAGTGCGGTAATATAC